GGTTCTCAGGCATTGGAATGGGCTGCCCAGGGAGGCGGTTGAGGCCCCATCCCTGGAGGTGTTCAAAAGACAGGTTGATGTGGTGCTGGGAGGTCTGGTTTAGTGATGATGCTCCTTGTTTGTTGTGTGGGTGTCTATTTTTGTCAGTTAGGTTGACGGTTGGACAAGATGATCTTTAAGGTCCCTTCCAACCTAGAAGATTCTGTGATTCTGTGATTCAATGTTAATTAGTATATCTGTCTTAGTAAGCAGTTAAATGTTGATGCAACACTATAAAATCCACATCTATATAAAGGTGTTGGGACAGCAGGAAACTTGTCTATTTACACTACAAAGTGCTAAACTGCAGTTGGAGCTATAATTACAAAAATAAAAGCAGCACTGACAGTTAACTTTTACACTTTAATTTTAAATATTATGAAGTGCAATTTTTAAAAAAGGTAGACAACAGAAAGATGCAGGTTGGAGGCTCATGGGGGGTCTTCGGTCCAAACCAGCTTGCAGCATGGCCAACGCCGCAAAGATCCAACACCTTCTCAACAGAGTGTCAGGTCTGGTGGAACTACTTTAAAAAAAATAACTGGTCTGAGCAGCACTCATGGTGAGGCATGGGAACACCAGGCTGTGGTCAAACCCACTTGGGAAAGTACATACCCAATGGGTTACAAAAAAAACCAAAACCAACAAGAGTGGTTCTGGACAGTGATTCCCAATTATGATAGAATAAGCTGTGCTAAGACTGGGGACAATGTTGTTCATCATTTCTTTTCAAAGTAGAAGAAATATCCTATTGTTTGGAAACACTGCCTTTTTTTTTTTTTTCATTTTTTTAAAATAAAAAGACTATTTGGTATTTTCATGCACTGTGACCCACTAAGCCAGAGAGGTAAACCCTGTATAATTAATTGTATGGAAACACTGCCTTTTTTCTTTTTTTTTTTCATTTTTTTAAAGAAAAAAGACTATTTGGTATTTAATGCACTGTGACCCACTAAGCCAGAGAGGTAACAGAGCAGTGAAGATGAATGCAACCCTAGTATTTAAGCACTAGTAAAGAAAAGTGCATTGGTTAAGTTTTTGGGGATAATTCAAAGAAAACCACACTGAAAATAGAATAGAACAGCTAATCAGAAAAAGGACAAAGACATCTGATTTAACAGGGTAATAATTAACTTCAAGACTTAAATGGATTTATAAATTAAAAAAAAATCAGATTACTCTTATCCTTTATGGTGAATGTAGTATCCTGTCAGCCATTTATTGTATGTTTCTTTTGCCTTGAGAAGCTGTCTCAACTCCCCTGAAAACCCTTTGGAGAGAAGGAAGCAGAAGAGTGCAGGGGCTGGATCTGCGCAAGAAGTCTACTGCAGGGCAATTAACCTGAGCAAAAAATCCCTTTCTTCCCTTCTAGATCTTAGAAGAAATCTGCCAGAAAAACAACTGGGGACAGCCTGTTTACCAGCTCCACTCTGCAATTGGCCAAGACCAAAGACAGCTCTTCCTATACAAAATCACTATCCCTGCCCTCGCCAGCCAGAACCCCACCATGTATGTAACTATTTGAGGTTTTCTGAGATTTAGGATTACTTTTTAAAAATGCATTTTTTTAAATTGCATTTTATCTAGCATACACACACATTAGGAAGAAAAACATTCATAAACTGAAATACAGTGATAGTGATGTTTACCATGATTGGTGCCCTCTCTGGTGGTGCAATGAGTAGAGAAGGGCAAAAATAATCAGGAAAAAGGGTGCTTTTAAATACACTTAAAGTAAAGCATACAATAGCTTTTGAGGGAAAATGAAAGCAGCTTCAAAGAACATGCTAAAATTCAACTCCAAATATGATTCTAAACATTTCTGATCTAAAATATTGCATGCTGCATATTTTAAAGTTAAATGCAGACTGCAGCAGGCTTCCTTTTGGACTGAAAATGCACAACGTGCTCTAACAGGATGTTATGTCCAAAATGACACCCAGGGCCAATAAACTCGGCAAAGAAACTGAATTACTATAAGAAGAGTATTTTCATTAATGCATCATCACAGTAAAATAACGTTTCCATTTGGTATGTGGGATGATGCCATCTATGAGTTTATTGACACCTCTTGCAGGGAAGTCCTAGAGAAAAAATATCAACAAGCTAACGTTCTGCTGTACTCACAGACATCCCTTCACACCACCCAAGCTCAGTGCCTACATCGATGAAGCCAAAACATATGCAGCTGAATACACCCTTCAGACACTGGGGATTCCCGTGGAGGGAGCAGAGGTGCCTCCTGCAGCCCCGGCTTTTCCAGGTATGGGAAGGTCTGTAGAGCAACAGTCTCCTGGGATGTTATTTTTCCTGCTGTTTCCTTGTGGAATGTCAAGAATGAACCCATTTCTGGCCACTGAGGACAGATGTGACTGTGCTCCCCCGCACGCCTCCACCTTGAGTCGTGTTACTTATATGTAACACTATACATCTTTATTGCCTATAGGAATAGGCAATAGGAATAGATTTCTATATCAGGACCTCTCAAATGATGGTTTATGTACCATAGAGCAACTCAGGCTGAATGCAGCGGGGTGGGGGCTCTCTGGTCCAGCCCTTCTCCCAGCTGGTCAGTGCCACATATACAGCAAGATGCTTGGGTCTGTGTCCAGGCAAGTTGGGGCAGTGTCCAAGGATGGAGATCCCCCATCACTCAGGCCACATCCCAGTTACTCACATACCCTCCACTCCTTCCAGTTTGTGTATGCCTCCCTTCAACTGGGAACCCCAGATAGGATGCAAGATCCAGAACTGACGTCCCCTGTGCCACATCGCGGATGATTCCCCTCCCTAGACCTGCTTGCTGATGCCACCCAGGATGGAGTAGATCTTCCTCACTGCAAAGATGTGATTGATTCAGAGTCAACGATTGATTCAGAGTCCATCTATCCTCCCCCAGGATCCCCAGCTCCTTTGGAAACAATGCTTTTGATTTCATCTGCCAAAGAAATGACTTAACTGGGAAAAATATGCTCTGATCCCAGCTCTTAGACACCCCTCTCCCCACTGGAAGGTTTTTTCCCATTTTGATTATTCATACTCAACAGGTCTTGAAAGTGGCCAAACATTGGGACGTCAAGGAAAACACAGGCTGGCTGGGAGCAGGATTAGAGCTCTCAAGCATTACATTTACTGAGATCTCCAGTATCACCGTTATTCTGATGTAGTAGGAGCAAAACATGCTAAACTGCACATGAGGAATGCATTAGTCAGTAGTATTGAGTTGTTTGGAATGTCTCAAGGATGGATTTAAAAAAAAAAAAAAAATCTATCCAGCTTCCTTCACAGGAATCCGCAAGAGCCACAGAAAAATCAATTTGTCTGGGTTTGCGTGGTCTTCTGTAGCGTGGAAAACAAATGGGCTCTTTATTGAATCCAGTCTCCACTTACTGCTTAATTATATTCTCTCTTTTTTCTTTCATCTACCATTATTTATTTGTCTTGCAAACTCAACAAATTAACTTACATTAAACTTTCTGCTTGCAACACGCAGTTGTCCTTGATCAGGTCCTTGATCGTGAGCTCAGCTCAGGTCATGCCCAGGTAGCAGCTCATTTCTCTTATGATGGGGGCAAATATGCTTTAAATGACATATTGCTCAATTCCTAGTCCAAAGGTTGTACCTCACTTTGCTGAAGCAAAGATAATTTGAACAGCCACAATATTCCAATTAATGCAAATTTCTCATGTTTTCCCCTAAGGTAAGGCCTCCAATGAGGCAACACGCTCTCAGTGTTGCCCAATATCTTCATTCCCTGCACTGAGAGGACCTCGTCTCTGATTGACCTTGAGTTGTTCCAATTGCCCAGATGGTCACTTGGAGATTTTGGACCCTGAGAGATGTAGTTTGTCAACAGAGCCTGGTCCAGCAGAGCCAATGTGTACCCCAGCTGCTCGTCCCAAATATGGTCTTTGTCTCAATTCTTGATTCTTTCACAAAATATTGTGGACTGGTCAAAAAGCAGCTATCCCGTGCTTGTAGACTAACCAGCCCCAAGCATTCTCCTATGGAAAATTTTGAAGTGTTGAAACCACATTTTCCATTAGAAACTGATGGGAAATATCCGGTTTGATGAATATTTTCTCATCAGTATCGCAGAGGGGGAGTTTCCCTCATCTCTAACGTGGCTGTCCAGAATTGTTTTGTTTGTTTTTTTTTCTGTAAAAGGTATCAGAGCCATATTTTCTCTATGAAACCTGTCCCTTTCTTCTATATTACTTAATTGCCTTATTCTCCTCATATCATGAATGGGAGGACATGTAGAGTGCAATATTACACCCTCTTAGCTCAGAAATTATCAAAGCCTAAGGAAAAAATATTCAACAGAGGGGACATTTTTCAAGTAACGCGTTTAACAAATAATAGGGGACAACAAGCATTACTTTTCCAGCATATTTAATATAATTAGATTATTCCCATAAACAAACTCATTGCTCCCTATGTCCTTCCCATCCACAGCAGTCGTCCCATCAAAAACTATCAGGCGATGGTGAGTTTTGCAAATCCTGTCATTAATTTGCTTTTTTTCCCTCCCCTCCCTTCCCCCGCAGGATACACTCTTGCTAATGCAGCTGCAAACGTCACAGCCACCCAGCTCAAACAAGCGGTGACCATGGGACAAGATTTAGCAACGTACACAGCCTACGAACCGTACCCTGCCTTCACGGTCGCTGCACGCAGCGATGGCTACGGAGCATTTTAATCCTGTCTTTAAACTTATTAAAGCCCTTAAATCGAGCAGAGGCAGGAAAAAAGGTATCTTCAGTCTCCTACTTCTAATACCCTCATGATTTTAACCTAATCTGTCACCTGAAGTTAGATTTTAGTCGGAGATTCATTCTTGTAGCTCTTTATTTTCATAACAGGCATTAAAGGAGAAATTAAAAAATCACTCAAAATCAGATTTTCAAAATAGGAAGCAAAATCTCTGCCCCAAAAAAGGAGTGGCTCTCGTGTGTGTTAATATACATACACACAATTGTGTGTTTACAATCAACAGCCTGTGCTGAAAAGAGTTTGTCCCTTTGACACTGTGACATGGGACCGGGGAAGGATGGGGTGTCCAGTTTGTGTCCAAGCAACCCGTGCCATTAGCGCTCTGGGGACGTGTTCGGGCATCTCAAACACCTTTTAAATCCAGTCTGGCACAGTCAAAGAAAAATATATTGGTCATAAACATCTCTGCCCAGACTGACAGGATGGTTTGCATGCTCTTGAACGCTAATTTGATTTTTAAGGCAGGAGGCAAGCATTCAGCAGCGTTTTCCCTCTTACTTTTTTACATCCCAGCCATATCTGCAAGTCACAAAACAGCAAATAACGAAGTATTTTTTCTACCTCTCATCAAATGGCATATTCAGTGAAAAACATGAAAACTTTTAGGACTATTAAGTGTTAGGACTAGAAAAGTGTTGTTCATTAGGGCCAATTCTGTACTTAATTAGAGCACAGGAGTTCACAGCCGTAGCTCAGTAATAACAGGCACATCTACAGGATTAAAATTATATACAAGGAACAGTATCAACAGGATGGAAAGAGCCCTGCCTGGCTATCAGCTCTGCTTTAGACATTAAAGCAAGGATGCTGGTGCCTGATGTTCTTGGAAAAATTAATTTAGTGGAGGACGGTTCATATCAACAGTAAAATCACCTCTTGTTTTGGAGAGCACCAGTGTTGGTTTGTGTTGGAATGCTCTGGGGATGCTGAGAGCATCATCTGGTTTACAGCAGGAAGGCATTACCCATTCATTTTTGCCATTGGACTGAGAAAGGAACAATGCTCTAGAGATACAGGAGAAACATAGTGTCTACAGTATGTATCTACAGCAGACATGTTAAACCAGATCCTACATAGTAATGCTCACTAAGAAAACCTGAATCTGCTCAGCCTAGGGTCCCAAAAAACTACAGAACCTTTTTTTGGGGAGAATTTACAATCGGGTTGATTCTAAGAGATTTGCTCCCAAATTTTTCATCCGGACCAGATGATGCAAAGTGGACCGTACAAGCCATATGGAGCAGAGTTTTTCCCATGCATTACCCAAAGCTCTACAAATCACGATGGTTTTTGATGACGTGTTGACTACCAGGAGCTAAGTGTTTTCTCATGCTTCAGCTGAGTCAATTTCACTAGTAATGGAACAAAAATACTAAAGCTGTATAGTTTGCGGGTCCTATTAGACCCTTTCTATTTGTAAAGTATATCATTAGAGTGATCCTAAAGGTATTATAAGCCCTCTGTGACTGCTCTTGAGCACGCTTGGCTTTGCAGAAAAAGACAAATCTGTTTACAGAGAGGAAATAACTGAGAGTGTTATAGTTATCGCGGCATTCTTTTTCTCTTCTATGTCTTTTAAGTCGTGTTTGGCTGCCAACAAGTAACATATACGCACGTCTGTCTCTAAGGCTACTGTTGGCAGAAAGTGTTTCTAACTTTTCAGGTTCAGTAACTTTAGTCTGTTTTTTCAGCTATTTATATAAGTTCAGGAAGATGTCAAAGAAAAGGGCAAGAAGCAGTATTAAAAAGTGTGTGCATGAAGCACTTATTTTTGTACACGTAGTACCATATTTGTATAGAGTTTGAACATTATGAAGTACAGCGAAAAATCACACTATTTACTGGATGACAACCACGTGTGTGTAAACAATGAAATGAATATGTCATCACAATCACTCGTTACAAGGAATTTATAACCGGGATTACATTCTGTTAAGCAAGTCTGCAATTCTAGAGTAATCCAAGGACATTAGCTGGACTTTGAAATATCATTAAAAGTTTTTAAACCAACATATATGCCTCAGTCCTTTTATACCCTAAGTTTCATCTGAAAAGGTCATCATGTTCATGGTAAATACGAGCACATTTTGCCACGCAGAGATCAATTCACAGTCAGGCAGGCAAGGTCACAACCTGCTCGGTAATGCCAAGCATGTTTTCAACATGCACTTTGGTGACACTTGGCATGCATTGCCACAGCATGGCAAGTGCACTTTCTGCACACAGCAGAAAATCAGCAGTGTTTTACTTCCGCATTTTTAAGTAAAAATCAAGCCTTTATGGTGTTTTCTTCCACCACCTCTGGCAAATATCTATCTGTGAACGTTGCAGGAATCACTTTTGCTATAAATTTATTATAGCGGTAAATAACTTTGTTCTTTACCTGATCCCAAAGGAGAAATCTCAGGGATGATAGTAATAGCAACGTGCAAAAATAAGGGGGTAGATAAGGTGACATATGATTTAGGGCTATTAGGGATTGTTCCGATATTGGTCTCACCTGTCGAAAAGCTGCCAATTTGTAGAGCAGCAGCGGCCCTGCTGGTGTTAAGAGGAAGACCTGCTACTGGGAAGAGTGTCATAGTTAATTGACTGAGAAGTAGCAATTCCTGCTTCCACTCTCATTACAAGGGGATCTGGTTTTGCTCCTTTCCAGAGAGATCTCAAGCCCAGTATATGGGGGGAAGATCTGGTACCAAAATAGCTTGACATTGTTCTCCCAGACTTACAAAGAGGTCAGCTGTATTCTGGGCTTTAGCAAGAACAGCAGCTCTGCCAGCTCTATTATTTTACCTCATTAGCTTTTCCTGATGTCCTGCTTTCGTTTTCTTTGAAAACAGGACAATGGCAAAACTCGCTCTTGTGCTTTTATTTTTCCCTTCTTGGAGAACTGAGATTCCCTCTTTGCTCAGCAGCTGGATGATGAATTTTGGAGATAAAAAATGGTTTTTCAACAAAGCTCAAACCCACACCCCAACTTAAAAAACTTTCTTTCCCATTTGTAAAGATGAGAGTTCCCAGAGGATAGCAAGAAAAAGCCAAAAACTATATCCACCCTCTTCGAACAATTTTAAGACACATTTGAGTCGTAAGTGATGAGAGGACAAATGGCTCAGAAAAATAAGAAGATATCAATACATTTGGATGCAAGCATGGTAGTAGGTACTAAGACTGCATTTTCCTTCTTCCTTCTCTCAAACAGAGGTCTCAACAGCACAGGGCCTCCTATGTAAGGTGCAAAGCAAGAATAAAACATGTCTGATGGTTACAGAACAACTCCAGCATTGGAGCTGGATAGAAATTTCCCATGTCCCACAGAAACCCCCTCTAGAAGTCTATGGCACACAGTCTGCAGTGACTTTCAAGGGCGGTTGATTTAGCTTTGAACTTACAGTGTACCAGATAAATCACTCCTCATCACACACCTACCTAGCTTTCCCTTTTTTTGCGTAAAATACCCCAAAATAATTTGAAGGGTGGTATTACAGATAGGGACCACAAATCATTGCTGTTCACTAGCTGCTTGGGATCAGCCTAGTCCCAGTGCATGGTACTCTCATGGGATGCTCCTTTCTTCCAAGGCCTGGAAATTATTGTGTCTTCCAAAGACCGCAGTCCCAGCTAAAACTGCAGTTCTCAGCCACCCATTTTAAAGTGCCAGAGGGGAGCTTAGACAGCCACTGCCCAACCAGCCCCTCTCCTTTGTGGGGGTGCTTGGGGTTTTCTGATCGCTCCCTAGAGATGCCCTGCCAGCTTGAACTGCTCTTCATGTCGAGAGACCTGGCCTGGCCTAGCTCCAGTTATCTGAAGGATATGGGGGCTGTGCATCTCCAGATTCGGGCCTGGTTAAGGGAAACACTGGAAGAGTGACTTTTCCTGATCCCCAGACGCACGTCACGCAGATACTACTGGTGGAGTTGTAGATAGGTTGCAAAACTGTATCCTCTGTTGGAACACATGCAAACAGTACCAGACAAACACAGGATCAGACAGAGCCTAAAAACCTGCATGAAAGCCTGGAGACAGCAAAGGAATTCTCCCCCTTCCTCCCATTGCCTCGAGTCAGATCCCAGTTTAGTATCTGTTCCGCAGCTCCAAATACTGTTGGTAAGTTCAGGAGGGATAAGGTGTTGTGCAGAAGGAGAGTTGCAGCATAGTCATGTTTTGCACAGCAGCTTTGCGAGGCGGCCCAGCCTGCAGGCACAAAAAAGTTTCTCTGAAGTTCAAGCTACTTTACCTATCACAATAAGTAAGTATTTTTAAGAAGTATTGCACGCCTCCCTGAGCATGTACGGAGGGTACAACTGGTTGTACATTGAAGAAGAGCAGACCTAGAGAGGGAAGAGCAACTGTGATGAGTAATGCTATATATAACAAGTCCTATGAGGAGAGGCTGAGGGAACTAGGCATGTTTAGTTTGGAGAAGAGGAGGCTGAGGGGAGACCTCATTGCCCTCTACAGCTCCCTGAAAGGAGGCTGTAGAGAGGCAGGTGTTGGCCTCTTCTCCCAAAGGACGAACGACAAGACCAGAGGAAATGGTCTGAAGTTGCGGCAGGGGAGATTTAGATTAGATATTAGAAAGAACTACTTTCCTGAGAGGGTGGTCAGGCACTGGAACAGCCTGCCCAGGGAGGTGGTGGAGTCACCATCCCTGGAGGTATTGAAGAAACGTATAGACATGGCTCTTCAGGGCATGCTCTAGTGCCCAAGGTTATTGGTTTATGGTGAGGTGTTGAGTGTGGGGTTTAGTTGGTGGGTGCGGTGTTTTTGGTGGGCGTTTGGTGTGGTGTGTGGTTTTTTTGTTGTTGTTTTGGTTTTTGTTTTTTTTGGGGGGGGGGTTTTGTTGTTGGTTTTTTTTTGTGGTTGGACTCGATGATCTCTGAGGTCCCTTCCAACCACTAAGATTCTGTGATTCTGTGATTCTGTGATTTAACTGGCAAGTTATCCATGTTCCTGAAAAATTTGTCTGGGCTTCGGCTCCATGCAGGGACAAATTCGCTCTCATGTAAAACGGCACTGGCCCCTGGTGGCTGCTGATTTCAACCACAGCGCTCCGAGAAGACGTGCAGGTAGGAGCCAAGGGGTGTTCATCACCCTACGCCAGCAGCAAATGGCAACGACGCTGCTACGAAGGAGCAAATAAATCGAAGGACTTCACTTGACAGCCCTTCTTGGCACCGCGGAGCTTGGAGCTGCTGAATATTCTAGACACAAAAATATGATAAAAATTTCCACAAAACGTCAAAAAGCCTGTGTCCACCGGTGACAAATAAATAAGCAAACGTGCAATGAGGTGTTTCACAAGGCAACCTTCTGTGACACTCCAGCAGGACTGTCCAGATTCTCTGTCTCTCAACACCTCTCCTCCCACGAGAAACACCAGCTCCCTAAAAACTCTTTCGGAGTCAGATGCTTACATTTTAGAGGGCAATTCTTACCCATGAGCATTTTAAGTGTGTAATTCAGTTTTGCTTGTATAAACATGTTCAATATAAGCACTAAAATACTAAATACTAAGAGAAAATAATTCACGGTTACTATAATGCAATAACACAAAAAACTTCATCTGAAACAATCAAATTAAACACCTCAGTGTTGCCTGAGAAAAAATGAACTGCTATTTTCTTTTTAACATTGTATGTCTTTAGGAAAATAGGATTACTCCTGTGCAATTTATTCTAGTATACATAAAGTAAGACAAAGAGTAGAGAGTGATTGTATTACTGTGATTCCTAATGCAGCACCATTTCCAGATTGGAATGCAGTTCCTTTGCTACTTAAAGATGATCTGACCCTGTTTTAAGAGGCTGCAATGTGTTTTACAACACATAGTCCCACATGACAACATGAGCAAAGCGGGAAAATCTTTTCAAGAAACCTTCTGGATCATCTTGCAACTTGAGGACTGTGGCACTGAGCAAGCCACGGCACTTTGGGATGCTGGAGCAGCATCCTCTGCTGCCCGTGTCCTGCAAACACCACCACTGCCATCAGGGCGATTTTGCTGACGAGGACAGGATGGACAGGCCAGCTGGGCGAGTTATTAGGAAAGGATATTAAGAGCATCTTCAGGGATTTGATTCTCAGTATTGTTCTAAAGCTCACTCTTTCCTTTATCAATATTGCTATTGCTTTAAGCGCCTCCAGATGGGATCTCTAAGACTGGTTGCAGCTGGTTTAAGATGAATAATTCATTTTCACCTACTGATTTTAAAGAGTTGCAAAATTATCTGACTGAAGAGTCTCTGAAGCATTAAAGAGATTGCATACAAAATTGGTACATATTATTGGAACTTATTAAACATTTACAACTGTTTAGTTGTAAGACACTGTAAGAATCCTAAATCCAGATCTGAAAGATGCATTTTGTTCTTCCCGCGGCCCACGGATCTACCACCCACAGACGCTAGAAAATACCTGGGACCTGAGGAGCCATGGCTGCTTACAGCATCCCCTGGCAGCCCTGGTGTTTTGATGCACCCAGAGGAGGTCATTAAGGTCATGACTTTGTCTAGACAACTCCTGAAACCTCCAGGAGAAGATTTTTCTACCTTCCTGTGTTAAAACCCATTCAGCCTACTGTCCTACTGCCCCTTCAATGATATCTTCCTTCTGTGTTTGATGAAATCCTCTATTACCTTTCACATGAGTTGGAGGGGCATTACAAGGAGATTCAGTCTTTGGCAATAAGCTATGGAGAGCCCTTCAGCCAGCCAGAGCCTGCTCAACTTCTGTCCTTCTTGATGTCTTAATGAAGTAGGCTGAGGTCTGTTCAGAGCTGCCTCACCCACAGCTTTAATTCATAACTTCAATTCTTACTGATTTCCATCTTCAGTACCTGAAATATAAACTTACTGCCATGATATCCAACTCAGCTCTGGTTGGACATCAGTCACCTTTTGCTAGCAGCTGCATGTTCTCCCTCACCAACAGGTCCCTCCCAAAATCCACGTCATGCATATGGTCCCTGGTGTAAGCCCAGTACTTTCCCATTATGTCCTCCTTTTGAAAGGAATGGAATTCAAGAATAAAAAGGTTTATAATCTTTGGAAAAGGGGCCTGGCAGGCAAGGAGAAATACCAGGAAGCAGTGAGGATATGCAGGGGGAAAATTAGAAGGGCCAAGGCTCAAGCTGAGCTCATCTTGGCCACTAAAGTTAACAATAACAAAAAGGGTTTTTTTCGGTATGTAAACAGTAAGAGAAAGATAAGGGATAATGTGGGCCCACTGATGGATGAGGTGGGCACCCTAGTAGTGGAATACACGGAGAAAGCAGAGTTGCTGAATGCCTTCTTTTCTTCAGTCTTCACTGTTAGGACTGCCCCTCATGAATCTGTGACCTTGGAGGCAAGGGGGACGGTATGGAGAGAGGAAATTTTTCCTCTAGTAGAGGAGGACCAGGTTCGGGACCACTTGGCCAAACTGGACATTCATAAGTCCATGGGCCCTGATGGGATGCACCCGCGAGTACTGAGAGAGCTTGCAGATGTTATCTCTGGGCCACTCTCTATCATCTTTGAAAAGTCATGGAGAACAGGAGAGGTGCCTGAGGACTGGAGGAAGATCAACATCACTCCAATCTTCAAAAAGGGCAAGAAGGAGGACGCTGGGAACTACAGACCAGTTAGTCTCACTTCTGTCCCTGGGAAGGTAATGGAGAAGGCATTCTGGATGTCATCTCCAAACAAGTTGAAGAGTGGGAGGTTATTGGAAGTGGGCAACATGGGTTTACCAAGGGTAAATCATGTTTGACCAATCTGATAGCCTTCTATGATGCTATAACTGGTTGGTTGGATGAGGGGAGGGCAGCAGATGTCATCTACCTTGACTTCAGCAGGGCTTTTGACACTGTTTCCCATAACATCGTCAAATGGGAAACTAAGGAAATGTGGGCTGGATGAGAGGACAGTGAGGTGGATTGAGAACTGGCTGTGTGACAGGACGCAAAGGGTAATGATTAATGGAGCAGGTTCAAGCTGGAGACCTGTAACCAGTGGTGTCCCCCAGGGGTCAATACTTGGTACAGGCCTGTTCAACATATTCATCAGTGACCTGGACGAGGGGACAGAGTGTATCCTCAGCAAGTTTGCTGATGATACCAAACTGGGAGGAGTGGCTGACACCCCGGAGGGCTGTGCTGCCATCCAGCTCAACAGTGTAGGGTCCTGCACCTGGGGAAGAAGAATGTCAGGCACCAATATAGGTTAGGGGTGGACCTGCTGGAGACAAATTCTGAAGAGAAAGATCTAGGGGTCCTGGTGAACAGCAAAATGACAATGAGCAAGCAGTGTGCTCTTGTGGCCAGGAAGGCCAATGGAATCCTGGGCTGCGTAGGGAAGAGTGTGGCCAGCAGGTCGAGGGAGGTCATTGTCCCCCTCTGCTCTGCACTGGGGAGGCCACAACTGGAATCCTGCCTCCAGTTCTGGGCTCCCCAGTTCCAGAGAGACAGGGAACTACTGGAAAGAGTCCAGCCTGGGGCAACAAAGATGATTCAAGGATTGGAGCATCTTCCTGATGAGGAGAGGCTGAAAGAGCTGGGACTCTTTAGCCTGGAGAAGAGAAGGCTGAGGGGAGACCTTATTAATGCTGACAAGTATCTCAAGGGAGGGTTGAAGGAGGAGGGAGTCAGACTGTTTTCAGTGGTTCCCAGTGAGAGGACGAGGGGCAACGGGCACAAGTTGGAACAGAAGAGGTTCCACCTGGATATAAGGAAAAACTTCTTCACAGTGAGGGTGACGAAGCCCTGGAACAGGCTGCCCAGGGAGGGTGTGGAGTCCCCTTGTTTGGAGATTTTCAAGACCCACCTGGATGCTCCTGAGTAACATGCTCTGACAAGCTCTAGGCAATCCTGCTTCAGCAGGGGAGTTAGACTCTATGGTCCCTTCCAACACTAAAAAATTCAGTGAAATTCAGTGAAATTTTGCTTCTCTATTACATACGACTCCAGGTAATTATGTTGAAGAAAGACCTAGTATGATGATAGGACATTAATTAATATTGTGATGGTACAGATTTTGATCGGGGTCTTCTGGCTCCCACGCCATATTATTCCACTGGGTTTGATGCTCCTTGAAGCAACTCACCACAGTTAAGCCCCGAGGTACATTTTTACCACCAAATGCTACACTTTGGTGTTCAGTCTGTCTGGGAACCACTGTGTTTGATAGCATTCCATGTCCAAACTTTGTAACTCTTGGTCATACAGCACCAGAGTGACTTCCAGGCTTTGCATTTGCTCCTGGGCTGTCCAAACAATGGTGCTGAGTGGCCACGCTTCCAAGCTGGAAGCTGCTGAAGTCAGGGTTGCCCTTGAGTGCTAGTGAGGGCTTCAGAAAAGCCCTTTGCCTTCCTGTGTGGAAATGCAACACTTTTGCTGCGTGATGTGACTCAGAAGATGGCTCAGCCTAAGCTGCTGAGATGGTGGGGAATGCCCATCCCTGGATCCTGACCTGAGCACACATCTGTGTGCCGGTTTCTCATTCCTGGTGCTGCTCCACGTGCAGAGGACTGTGGCTTGTGACTGACCTTAGCATTAAAAACAAAAGCACACTAGGGCTAAAGTGGATTGATTCCACATGTGAGTTTATGACGTGGAAAGGAAGCCTAGCATACAAGGCCCGTGCTTGCCCTTTCTGGTGGGCTGGTACAATGCTTCCCTGCTCCGGCACTGAGCACGTGCAGCAGGGCAGTGAGACAACCCCCTCGGTGCCTGCCCACCCCTTGTGTCCCAGCTGTGGCTTGCCCATGGCCAGGAGAAGCCAAAGGATGGGTTTGAGAGCACGTGGAGGGCAGGGCAGGCTCATTGCTTCCTCTGGATGGGTTGAGATGTGCCTTGGTCATTGCTCTGCAGGCACACAGCTGGGCTTCTTGAGCCACACGTCATTTCAGAGACACACATGGAAACAGCCCTGCTTTGGGGTGAATAGTTTTTATTCCCAAAGGAGAGGGGAGACTGATCTCTTGGGCCGTTCCTTCTTTTCCTATGGGACCATTGGGGTCTTGGAAATGAGGGTGGGAGCAGCATTTGGTGTGTGCAGGGAGGCTGTGGAAAAGTAGCTTGGCTCCTCTTCATCTCTGTCCATGCCATCTGTTTGGGAGGTCGTTCTGGATATTGAGAGATTTTTGGGAACAGCTCTGAGTTAGACACCCCTAGTGAACGGTAGTCAGCGACGTGCAGTGAAGTCGTGCGAGACGTGCTCTTTGCTAATTCTCTTTTTTGTGATTATCTTTGTGCAGGCGCTAAAAGAAGCTTCCCAAACTAACCTCCTTGCCAGGGTCTGGTGGTACAAGCCCTTCCAGTACTTTGAAAAGAATGTCCAAGGGATTGTACCTCGCTCCTACCACTGGCCCTTCCCCTGGCCAGCGCTGCACCGGGGCCGGCCGGTGAAATACAGCCGCCTGGTGAATGACACGTAACAGCGTGTCCACGGACAGAGCCGGGGGAAAGGACCTGTCCCAAGTGCTAACAACTCCCTGCGAGAAGATGCCATAAAAAAAAAAATAATCCGGAGTTGGACTAGATGATCTCTGTGGTCCCTTCCGACTCTAAAAATTCAGTGAAATTCAGTGAAAAAACATCTGGCACATGAAAGCAACCTTATTTTGTAACTTTTTTATGTGTCCCAAAGTGCTATTTAGAAAGTGAAATGGCAACTGCTGATCTTTTATTGAGGTCAGAAGGCTGGGCAGGAGTTTAAAAGGAGTGGACAATCTCAGCCCCAAGGTCTTTCTCATCCAGCGTCCTGCCTCTGGAACGTGCTACAGACGCATGATGTCGTCAGGTCATAAAATCAGAGAAAACATGTCCCCTTCAATGGATTTGGTGGCCTATAGCCCACCTGTGTTTTCTTGGGCCACTTGTAATTATTTGAAGTTTCAGAAATTTCTCTTCCAAAAACTTGCCTAGCATCCTTTTAAAATGACACAAATCCACACCTGGTGTTCAGCACTGAGCCAACCTGGCACAACGGTCAGTTCGAAAGTGATATTTGTGAAAGAGAGTAACACAGTCTAGTAGGAAAAATTTGTGAACAGCTTCAATATTTTATTTTGTGAGCAATTGACATTCCTTTCTTTAATTGAGACCTCTGAGGTCATATAAAGCCATTGTTATCAGGCATATTTTGAAACCAAGACCACTGATTTTTGGGCTTTATGCACAAGTCACTGCATCGGACACTCTTGCCCACCCAACACCCATAGTCTAGGGTGGCTTTTAACTCAGAGAATGAATGTCTTAAACCAGAATGACTAATTCAAACTTTTCTGATGAGTATCTATCCAATCTCTCCCTTTATTTAAGAGGCCAGCTATGCAATTCGAGGACAATTGAGGCGTCTTCTCTTCTGATGGTTTCTGAATCCAGCAGCTTTTCCCAGTTATATGGATTGGGTTCAATTTTATGGAATACTTATTTTCTGGATTATCTCCTGATATGCACTCACTCTCTCTAACAAAGCCCATTCATAAAGAAAGAAAATAGCTACATCTTTTATTACAATGAGAATCAGCTGCAATAAAATCTGGCCAGGAACTGAACCGCTCGAATGAGAATACATTGGACTAGTGAGATTGAATTGTTGGTAAAGGTCAAGACTTTGCAGGAAGTCAAGCCTTGCACAGCAAAGGGTGACCAGCAGCACTGGTCGTGATGACAGCATAACAGCAAAACAATTCCTAGGTGTGCTTTGTGAACATTGCAGATAGCAAATCTACTGCTCATAAGAAACAATTCTTTTAATGAACAAGTTTACCTACAGAACTGTGATTTCAAACACTGAAGATGTGCCTTCAAAAGGAAGAGTGATAAAGCGATTGTTAGCCACTTTTTTCTTGTAGTGCCCGAAGTACCGTATCCTGTAGGCACCCGGCTCTGTGCCAGGAGGGATGTGCCATTCAATAGTCACATTGCTCCGACCCAATAGTCCTTTGGTCCAGTAAAACCTAGCAGACAAATCAGAAACTGCAGTCAGCAAAAAAATCCACTTTCATCTGCTTTAATATCCCAGGAGCTCACTAATTGGAATAAGGTGAATGCAGTAAAGTGAAGTTTTAGAGCCCTTTTAACATTTCCTCAAATGTTTAGGCTATCAGAGCAGCACCGAAAAAGTCAATCCAAAGCCTGGCAGGGCTGAAAAAATCTGGAAATATGGAAAAAGAAGTCAGTGGTCCTTTTTGCAGATGAAGACTATTTCTACCAACGTGTACTTACATTCCCAAAACTATATCGTTACCCCATATGACGTGACCCCTGTGAGCAATACTCATCAGCTCAGTCTTCCCTGCTCAGGGAGCAGCTGAACAAAGATTAGTGTTTAGTGAAGGTCATAAGCAAAATCTATCATAATTGAGCTCAGGATTTCTGGCATTCCTTTCTACATCAGACTCCCATTTTCTTTTCAGATTCCTTGTTCAAAAGCACTTCTGTCAACCTCAAAATTCTACAGAGAGCCACACATCATCGGGAGGTGATGGATTTTTCAGCCGGCCGTGATGGACCACTGCTTGAGGAGACTAACCTGCCCTTCTGATACTGCTGCAATTCTTGATATGCCCCTAGTTGGATATGCCCAGAGAAGAATTATCAAGTCCTACTGTAACAGCCTCATTTCAAGGTTTTAAATAAAGGAAGCAGATGAACAAAATATATTGATCCATTAGCAATGGTAATAGAATGTTTACCCATACCAGTCTTACTGAGAAGATTGAAATAAATATTTACAGTCATAGTGGGGGGAATGTCCTGATTTGAGGTAAAATACAACCAACTTTCTGTTTGACTTACTTTTTAAAAAGCTCAGTCTCTTCTAACTCTCTGAAATTAACAGCATATTGTGGAGAAAACTGCTTGTTCCCCGAGCAATAAGACCAATGTTTGTACTTCATGGCAAGGCAGGGTGTGCAGAGAGGCTCCTGCTCGGACTTATTGCTGTAACAACCAAGGTCAGCTAATTTTGTTATTTGCCCCATTGGAGGGTCAGAAATGGAAAAGCGTAGAGGGGTCCCCCCTGCAGGGAGGAGGGGACAGGAGAGGTGACCCAAACCTGACCAACAGGGTATTCCACCCCATCTGCCCCATGCTCAGTGTCAAAGCTGAGGGATCTAAGGGTCAGCCTCTCTCTTCAGGGGCCGACGTCCGAGGAGGACCCTGTCTGTTCGTCTGCCTTTGATCCCCATCCCTGTGTTCCTGACTCCAGAGCTGGAACCCAGTTCCCATCCCTCACTGAGTCCAGTCGGGGACTTCCCCAGTGCCTGCTGGTGACAGGACTGTCATCCTGGGAGCTCGATACAGTTTTGTATATATTGTATCTATTTCATTATTTCCTTTTACTATTAATACTGCATTAAAGTAGTTTAGCTCTTGCTGAACTCGTAAATCTCTTTATGTCTTCACCTATTCTCCTGGGAGAGAGAAGTGAGGGGAGACCGTCTGTGGCTCTCATAGGCCAATTTGTCCTAAACCAGGTCAGTGAAAGCCTGGGAACAACGGGGGAGATTTGGTTTGGTGAACAAAGACCACAAGCTGACACAGAGTCCATGTGTCTTCCTCATTGACCTTGTCCAAGGCTTTGCTCTGTGTTGCACTGGCTTTTCCTGGGACAAAGACACTGTTGTCTTGGTAGAAGACAGTAGGGTGACACCACGATGCCTGAAGTGGTAGGGGATTTCCATCCTTGCGACCACCCTGTCTCACCTGGACATGGTCCCAAGCCACCTGCTACAGCTGCGGCGTTTGCCCTGTTGGGAGCTGATTTGGAAAGGAGACCTGCAGACGGAGCCTAGCTGTAATGTGGTGACATAAAATTGTTGCTGTGATGGATCCATGCCACTTCCCAGACTTCTCCCTGTCCCGCCTTCCGTAATCGGTGAAACACAGCAACTGCTCTGGGACTCATGAACTGGAACGTAGCCTAGATCCCTCCGGGAAGAGTCTTCTCATAGATGAGCACCATGTCTTAGCTCTACTAGCTGTCTGCCAAAGGCAGGGCCAGGCAAATTCCTGCCCAGTCCCTCCTCCTAAACAGTCCCAATACAGAAATATACTGCCCTGTGGCAGAGGGAGGGAGGAGGCTAACACATCTCTGCTGTACACATCAAGACAGCATCCAGCAAAAGGGCACGTTTGTCCCTGATACAACGGTGAGCACAGGACAAAGGCCAGATAAGAGCTATCTCCTTCCCCAAAAGCTACACTTCCTTTAAGTAAACATTCTTATTGTTTGATCCTTGAAAATATGCATTTTGCTAATATATCTATACTACCTTTCATACTTTGCAACACTAAGCTAACGAGTAATGGATTCTCTTGCACTACTCTCCTCACATTCAATGGTATCAAAAGCTAATTTTTCCTATGCTTAAAAAACACAGTCTGACTCCACTAATTACTAGTAAAAATCTTTGATTCTCCCTGTCCTCATTGCCTTAATTACTGACATTTCAAGATTAATACACTGATATTGTATAAAGTGAATAATTTTCACCTTAAGAGAATCATTTCCCCTTTCTTGTGGCGTTTGGTATTTCCCTGGGGCACCTGGAAGGGAGATATTACTCTCTGCATTGGTTTGCCTTCTGGCCAGCCCCTTAAGGCAGGAAAAGGCCAAACAGCTCATATTCCTCCTCAGCACTTGTACTTATTTATGTTCAGAGATCCAAGGAAAGGATCCAGAGATTACTCAGAAAGGAAAATAAGACATTTATAGTCTCATCTTTCCAGCATCGTTGTAGTATATTCTCCAAGTTTTGCACTTTTACATTTTAATATCTTCTTGGATTATGTGCTTTTAAATGTTTTCAGTGGCCCTGGACAAGAATTTGGGAAACCTGTGGCTTTATTAAGACACGGGAAGAAGTGTGTGCCATCACAACGCCATCATTTCCTTTACTAAAGTAGGAACTGACTTGGAAGGGAGACATCGATGAGTGTGAAGTGTTAAACAGAGGTCAAAGTACTTAGAAAAACAGAGGTCAATATACAGGTAGGAATAAATCTTCTGTGTTGGGACAGTCAGAGTCCTGGCTACAGGGTTATGTTTGGGGAGCAGCTGGTTGCACTTGAGCAGAGAGAGTTATCCACTATCAAATGGCTGTCCTAAATCCAGAAGAAGTCTTTCCTGATGAAGCCAAGCTGTCGGGAATGCTGCCTCTCTGACCTGTTTTTTTGCACTGGGACATTGCAGGATAAGAAGACACAAGACGGACATTTTTGGGGAATGCTTTTCACAGATAGGTTGCAGGAGGAAAAATGCCTGGTTTTACTCAAACTTGAAATTGAATGGTTTGACAAAAGGTGCCTTTGATATTTCTATCTCATGTTCTGCCTTCTGGTGTAGATCAGAAGGGTGACAGCAGCTTTGCTGCTTAGTCATTATTTTTCCTTAAGACTAGTATCTCTAAACTTAAATCTACTTTTTTACAAACTTTTTTCTACCTTATGATGCACAGCAAAAAAGGCCAGTTTTTCCAAATGAAAACCCTACTGTGGAGGAACTCTTATATTTTCTATTGTGTATACTGTCATCAACACTGATGGATGGATTTTTCAAAATAGTTGGACAACGAAGTTCTGCAATTTGTACTGTTCCTTCTACCTTTCCCTAGCTTTTAAGTCTTCATTGCAGCAGTTAGAGAAAAATTATTATTGTGGCTTTGACATGTTAATTACTCAAATATGGACGGACCCATCCCCAGAGAGCACGATCTGCAGTAACAAGACCAACCTACATTTGGGAGCTCTGAAAAAAAGCACTTCAGGTTAAACTCAAATTACTTCTTGGAGTCTGTGGAATAGTGAAATCTGGTCATGGCAGCTACCTGGTGTTCCAGGAGGCATCGTTTTCTACCACGTCCCAGATCTCTGAAGTTCTGGTATATCTCTCCACTGTCAGGAAGTTGTGTTCAGTCTGGAATAAATATAACAGAGCCAGGTGTTGAAGCGTCAGGCATGTGTCTGCTTTTCTGTGTCACTTCAAACTAGAGAAGGGACTATACTTCTGTGTCCACTTTAGTGTCAAATGCAGTATTTAGTAGCAAAAATGCTTATATTTCACTGACAAAGCACAAATCTAAGACAGTTAATGACTCAGAGAACAAGTAAAGAACTTGAGCATTAAAAAGGGAATGAATAGGAAGTATAATTTTGGGGGTATTTGCTTTCAATATCTATGCAGGATGAGTTGTGGGACAAATTAAGTATTGTTTTTAATTTTCGTTGTTTTATCAAAATAATGCTCCAGGCTGATACCATGCTTGCTATGACAGGATGGCACTGGATACCACCCAAGAAAGAGTGTCTGGTCTAACGCACAACATGGATGCCTCTGACTTCAATAGTATCAAGAGATCATGAATGGGTTATATCTGAACAAATTAAGGACTTTGGCTGAAAAGTTTTCCAATGGTGTGAATTCCCAAAGCGCATGCTCAATGGAGAAAATATCTGCTTCTGAAGTCGTAGCGACGAAAAAAAGGAAGCACAATATCTTACTGCTGAAACGCGAAAATCAAAGACTTACATGTATCAGGCCAGGGCAGTAACTAAATATTCACTAATCCTGAACATCCCCAATTGCAGCATTGCTATACTTACCACATTTTCTGTAGAGCTCCGGGGGTTCGCACCCACAAAAGTTACTTCAGCAACTTCTCTCTGGGGAAAACAGAGGTTTATATTAAAGACTGAGCAGCATATTGCACATCAATAACATCCTTTTAAGATGCTGAAGGAGATTTTTAGTGATTTTTTTCTGTGGTGTTTTTATATTTCTTTTTTTTTTGCAATAGCAGTACACAATTTATACTGCGAACTGGTATTCTGTGCCTTTCCATTCCACTTGTCCTACTAGCTGGATAAACTCCAGCGCAGCACAGAAGATTTCTGTGTAAAAGAAGAAGGGAAATATGTGAGATATTTCTTACTGCTGGAAGGAAAGACCTCTCTGAAGACCTAATCTATATTTTGAGCATTAAAAAAGTGAACGCTTTCTGACATTTTTGTTTCATTCACGTTATGTACCAGAGGCATCAAAGATGACCAAATTTCTGCTCATATCACATCAATGATCTACTCAATCACTGTACAAAATTAGCCTATTTAATCATCAGGTTTTAGTTCATGTTGACACTGAAGGTGAAACCTTCATGTTGAATAACAGGCTTTTATTTTCCCCTTCATTCATTCATTTAATCGCATTCAGTACAAAGACACTGACATAAAAATGCTCTATATCTGCCTTTTCAGGCCCAGTAAGAGCAACGAGACCTGGGACACTTATTTGGATGAAGGATAAGAATTTAAAGAATCCTAAGTAGGTTTTAGCAAATGCTTTAAGCTCTCACCACTTGATAGTGTTGCCTCACTTCTTGTAGCACATCTCCAAATGTCTTGTTGGCCGGCGCGCGGTCAGCAGTGAGAGCAGGCACCAAAGTCAAGTTACCTATGTTGAAAAATGGGGGCTCTGGGCCACGTGGCAAATCCTGAACTGCATTCTGGGAGAGGGAAGACGTACTCATTATACGTAACTATATTTGTATTTCACTGATCTCCTATCACTGGTGTTGCTCTTTCTCCAAGTCTATTACTGACATAGATTTTTAAGAACAAGGGCAATAAAACGTGCATAAAAACAAACAAGAAGACATCGATCTCTGCTTTGCATGCAGGACACCTGCTGCCTTGTTGTTGAGGTCCCCTCAATTCACCAACCAGAACACCCCATTACTTCAGGAGGCACTGCCCACCCACCAGTCCAGCCTTGTTCACAGGGATCACAGATACAATTGTAATGAACATTGCCATGTACTGGAGAAATGCGGCAGATTGTTTCCACTTAGTAGAAAAACAGCAACTTCAGGTAAAGCTGAACGATAGGAAGCACTTTTTCCTAAGCTTTGAACCAAAAACCCCAGAGTCTCTGAAGTGCAGACACACATTACAGGAGTTATTTTCATACCAAAAGAGAATTTCTCGAAACGGTTCCTTATGAGAAAAGAGAGCGTAGCAATAAGGGTACCTCACTGAGAAACAAACACAGCCATCACCATTTCCAGGAATTAAATGTCTCCAGCAGCATGTGGCATATAGAAAATATTAATTACCGTAGCAATAGCCTTTGCAAGTCCTCTATACAGTTGAATATAAGCAGAAAGGGTGTGCGGCCCATAAATAGTTGATGCAGCTTCATATCGTTGAGCCTAGCAAAGGACAAATTTGGAAAAGGAAGGGTTGAATTACTCTTTAGCCATTTAGACAGCTTATCCTACTGCTGCAAGACAAGTTCAGCACACTAAACGTAGACGCTTATTTACTCCCTTACTGCTAGGGAGACAGAGGAAAAAAACCGCCTACGTATTTCTGACTCAATTTTAGGTTACTCTTTTTTCTTCAATCCATCTCAAACAGGGAGGACCAGTTGTCAATTCCAGCTATCAAGCTCTTATACTCTTTTTAAGTTTTATGACATAGGATGTCTCCTCTCTGACTTTTTGGGCTGGAAAATCGCAGCTCTTTCAATCTTCCCTCCCAGTTTAGGGTTTCTAAACTGAAGGTGCCCATCCAATGTTCCACATCCTCTTCAAAGCACAGCATACAAGTGTGCCTTGTGCGGGCCCTTAAAACTGGAACTTGCAAGCTAAATTGTGGTCCTTTCCGTAGCAACTGACACCACAATTCATGTTCACTTTACGACTCTACAACTACAAATCTTTCTTCTGGGAATTTTGCCACATTATGAATATAATGTCTAATTCATCCAAGTCATCAGGCCATTGTTGAAACAGACCTGAACTCACTGGAGCTCCCTTGTGTGTGCTTGACCATTTCCATGTTAAAGCATCCATACATACTCTATGGATGATTAACATGAGGAAGCTATGGTCAGGAAACCACACTGGCCCTTGGGTCATGTTGACTAAGCCAGAATAAACAAGGAAGTCGTGTGATTTCTGCCAGAGGCTCTCCAGATTTTGTGGTAAGGTGCTCTTTTGCGACGGAGGGAAGACATGAGCACTCAATATGAGTGATCAGCAAGCTTCGTTTATTTAGACACACTATCATTCTTTTATGCACACACGTAATTAGCTCATACATATTGCAAAATGAGAGCTCATTATTGGTTATTTCTAAAAAGACAGTTCTGCCCAGAATTCCTTTCTTATAGTTACATGTTTACCTTATCACAGACATTCTGTTGTTGGACCACAGCTGCCTTCAAGGCCAGAACATCCTTACTGTTGTTGGGAGCTAGATAAGCTGAGTACGGTGCTTATTGAGCTCTTGCTGGACTAGCTGACCCTTCTCAGCTAGCCAGTCTCCCACAGTGCTCTAAACATTCATAATTTCGCTTGAACAGTCATCCCATTTTGCTAAAATCTGAGCTCACTTAGACATGTTCAATCCACAATTTTGGCATTTACCTGGTATTCTTCATAGGTGGCAATGTAATGAGTGTAGACATTGCACAGTCCTGCAATTACAACATCCATTCTTGGTGTACCATGAGAATCAAATTCCTAAGAAAAGAAATAAATCACTTATCTAGTAATAGCTACTTAATACACAATTATATTATTGCTATTATTATTATCGTTATTATCTACCAGGACAGAACACAAAGCTACGGTGGGGATGGGGCAGGTTGTTCAGGAATGAAACACTACAATTTTAATATACCTTTATTAACATCTCTTGTCAAAGAGATAACTTCCCAAAGAAAAAGAGGATAAATGACATCATACTCCAGTAAATTCAATAAATTTAAAGGGATTTTGGAAGTTGAAGTCTCTATACTTCCTCAAAAATTGATATAACTATATGAGAGAGGCTCAGTAAGTTGTGGAGACAGTGTCTGGATTAATAGTATTTAGGCTGCAGGTGAGAATAGAATGTATCAATGAGGAAAATGGAAAAAATACATTTGCCTTTTTTTCCAGTCCTTCACATTTTGCAAGGCCCTGGTAGGGATTAAGGAACTAAACTCTTTCATCCTAGAGAAAAAATTGCTGCTATCATCAGTCATGCCTGGATTGAATTAGCTTCTGCTGGCTTAATGGATTGAAACATAATGGATTTGCTTTATTTGGGGGAGGACATAAGCTTCTCCTGCATGTCAGTAAGCAACGGCAAAATATGTCTGAAAGAGATGGGGAGAACAACCCAAGTGTGAGAAAAGCTACCCATGATCCTAGCTGGGCGAAGACAAAGGAAAAAACAGAAGAATCAAGAAACCCGAAGTTCCAGATATACTGTATCCTGGAAAAAATCTTGTCCTCAGCAACTTACTTTTTTAACAGCTTCCCTTAGCCGGCGTCCAGACATGGTCCTAGAGGCATTAAGGGAACAATGTTAGTCTCCAGTAAGGCAGGGAGCTAAAGGAGGAATCACCAGTTGGACACGCAGCATGCCACCAGAAATTCATATAGCACTTGCAGAGCTGCTCAGCATCCCTTAAGGCTTCTCTGTGATCGACACAGCCAAAACTCCTCTAATATTTCACATAAGTCATCACAATCAGGGTGAGGCTAGAGGAACCCCAGTGCGGGGTGGCATTGAAAAAAAACCTGCTATAAAAAAACCTTTTGTTCTGTTCAGATTTTCAGCATTGTACTATCAACAGACAGTGCAAATCATCACTACAGTACTTGTGGCTTGGAACAAAATAAAGTTTGAAATCTCCTTTCATTTCATTGAGCCTGCAGCTGTCATACACAGTGGACAATTTTTAGCCTACACTCCTGTACATGTGGAAGTATCACAGGTAGTTTGAATGAGACCCTTCCAGCTGCAACACATAGAACAACACCAAAGAAATACACACGTGAACTCTCCGGGAACAGCAATGATTGCCAGAGATCCAACGGCAACAATCTGAACGTCCACGATATCAGGGTGCCATGGGTGAGGTCGAGACATCTGAGGTTAAAAAAAGAGTGGGTATAACTATTGTAGGGCAGTACCAAAAAAAGGCAGCGGAAGTGTTTTCCATCCTACAATCATAAATCAGGCAGATACATTTACTTTGTAGACAGGCACATAAGAAAGTGTTTTACCTCCACGTGCATTGCACGTTGTCTGACCATAACAGGAAGACAAGGCACATGTAAATACTATAGGTTAAGCAACAAAAAAGGTGTTGCCAGAGGGGTGGCTTAAAGCAAAGTGGGCAAGTAAGGCAAAGGTAGCACCTAGAAACCCTCACCTGCATGGGAAAGTGATAGTAGTAGGACCAATAAGGTAGATCATCTGATCAGGAGAGCAAAAGTTAACAAGTGAGATCAGAGAGTCTGCTGGGGATGGGAACTGAGAGTTACCTCATTATTAGCTGAGCAAACGCACAGTGCATTTTGTGCAGAGGGAGAGCCACACAGAGGATGGTGCTCAGGGAAGCCTTGGTCTAGCCCTAACTTGACCACACCTTACTCAGACTCAGCAGAATTGTAGCAGCTAAAACACACAATACAGCACCATGTCTTATTAAAAAAAAAAAAAAAAAAAAAGCGTGCAGAGGGAGAGCCACACAGAGGATGGTGCTCAGGGAAGCCTTGGTCTAGCCCTAACTTGACCACACCTTACTCAGACTCAGCAGAATTGTAGCAGCTAAAACACACAATACAGCACCATGTCTTATTAAAAAAAAAAAAAAAGAAAAGCTAGATAAAAATGAAGAAGCCTTTTAAAAAAATTAAGAACAACAAGAGCTCAAGTGTAGCACGGCTTCAGCAAACGAAATGCAAAATTCCACTCCATCAAGTCAAAAAGTTTTTTGAGTGGCAATCTACCAGGGGCAAACCATAAGTGACAAAACTTAGTGAAGTACATTAGAATCAGGAGTTCTGCCACAGCATCCATATAAGTATGCTCAAAAGATGATAAAGAAGCATGACCCTGAATGGAGGAGGTGGGGTGGGATGAGGCTCTGTGTTGGGACCTCTTTTTAAGAAAGATGAAGTGAGGAACTGATTGAATGGAAAGAAAGAGTAGGAAAGCTCCAGATGGCATAATCTAAGTGCTATAAATTACCTTGGACATGATCCTGCTCCACTATTGTGCATTTGCCTTACGGCCAAGAGAACAGCAGGTGGAAAATGGACATCAAATTTATTTTTTAAAGTTGTAAGTAGGATTTTGGGAAATTCAGTAAGAACAAACTCCAAGTCCTGCCCAGAGCAGTCTCTAGAATGGGGCAGCAGGTCCGCAGAGGCTGGCCCAAAGAAATAGCCCTTCACTATGTAACTGAGGCATCCGTGGGATAGGGACCAAAGCAGCGGGTGATCTCTATCCTTACTGACTGCCCTGACTCTTCCAGACATGTCTCTGAGCAACCTGCTGTTGCTGCAATTAGCGTTACTGCTAGGATCATGGTCAGGCTGGACATCCCCAGGGCACCTCCAGCCTGTGCCTGGTGTGATTCTACCTGTGGATAAGTCTGAGATCAATCAACGTTATAACTCACAGAGAACTATCAGACACTTACATAAAAAAGACAAAAGAGCAGAGATGTCAACAGGACATCTACAGAGGAAGTTAAAACCCAGTAGAAACCTTTGAAGACAACACTGAAAAATTAGGCAAGTTGATACAGTACCCAGAGATTCCAAAAAGCACCATGATGAGTTATTTCATTTTGCATGGACCAGTCTGCCACATGACAAAAAGAAAAGTCCTCTTATGGATTATGGTAGGATGGAAGAAAAATCCTAATGAAATCCCCCTCAGAGCTCTTAAGATCTGAGCACCAGGAGAGGATGATGTCCTGAAGCCATGGAGTAATACTGAGCTCCATGCATCCTTGGCTTTCCCTGAACTCATGCACTTCCCTGTGCATCCTGCTGAGGGATGTTCCAGGGGCAGAGAATTAGGCCAGTGTGCATTTATTGTTTTTTTTTATCCTAGTGACAGCAGTGAGTCCGGTCTCCCCTCCAGAGATATATGGAAAAGATGTTCTGCAAGAGAACTTCCACCCCTCCCATTCTGATGCAAAGTAATGACACTGTTTACTCTTGCTTTCTATTTTCATACTTTCAAGCCAATGCAGCTCTCGCTCCTTGTTCTTTCACATATGGGTTGGCACAGACATTGTCTGTAGCATCCTACCAATACCAGTATCAGATTAGCAGTCTCTGCAAATCCCAGGCTGCACACCTGTGTATTCTTACCTCTCCGGTGCTAAAGAGTATTGGCTTAGGTTTGTGGCAGGCTTTCGTTTCATTGGACGGTTCTCCCAGCAGCTGGTCCCGGATTTCGTCCCAAAACGGGTCCCCATCTACTGAGCCTTGAGTACAGGAAACACCTTTTAAACACTGTTCGTGAAGCTGACCCAGCAGCTATCAGGTAGAAAACTCATTTATTTCCTACTCCCTGCTTATGCGGAACAGGACAGTTCTCGGTGGATTCTAACTATCACCCTTTTCTGGAATAGTTTGATAAATTGAGCTTTATGCCAGGTGAGCCTGGCAGCCTCCAGGCAATGAAAAAAATGAGAAAGAGTGCCCAGATTTCAGCTCTTTCTTCTCCCCGCTCCCCATCCAGCAATCTCCTTCCTTCAGCACATAGTCATACTTTTCTGGAAAAATTTTCTGATTAACAGAGGCAAACTTGAGAGGCTGTCATAAGAACAAACCCTCCTAAAAAACATCCCTTTGGAGACAGCTGTTCAACTATCTGTTGATGTTCTTAAGTGACTCTGGAGTTCTGAATCTATCTGGAGGATGCCCCATGTCCTCCCCATTTGTAGGAAGCCATATTGACCTCTGCTCCCAAAATTACCTTGTGTGAAGTTGAAAGCCCCCACTCCATCAATAGTACCGGCGGCAAAGCTGTATCCTAAGGCTGGCTTGCAAGTTTTAACCTTAATCAGAAGAGGAAACAAAATGAAAATGAGATATTTTAATAGCACTTCCCCTCAGTGTGCCCAGCCATGCTGTGAGAATATAGCATTTCTTCCTTCCTTACACCCGGGAGCTCCAGATCTTACCGTGTGTGTGGCATTGAGCTCCACTGAGACATCACTCATGTTCACCCACTGGTGAGCTGAGCTGAGGGGCCCTGTGACCTGCTGGGAAGCTTTTTCATACAGCTCCTGAGAGACACAGAAGGTAGAAATCCTTGAGGAAGAAGAAATCAGGAAACAGTTCTGACATTCAGCCATATGAGTTATTTCTTCACTCTATTGACACCTGAGTCTGCAGTGTTAAAAAAGATAGCAATGGTTTTCCTTGCCATTTGACACACATGCTGGGCCACCCTGAGTGGGACAATCTTTCACTTGCAAGTCACGATCAGCCTGGAGTGACTTCTGGGAAAGTATCAGAAAAGGCGACTAAAAGGGAACTGCCACCATCAAGCCTTCTGCTCTTACTCCACTGCTGGAACCATTCCAGGTCCTACAAGCTGCTCTGCCTGAAACGGTGCCAAAAAAGGTCTCTTACTGACTACTCTGACATTACATGAAGCCGCAGAAGTGGAACCAGTAAATTCAAATGACTTCTGATCCCAAAGACACAGGCAATGTAAGGGAGCCCATAGGGTGGAGAACACTGGTTGAGTAAATGCACAGTGAAGCAGGGCAAGAATGTCTCTCATGGACGTTTAAGTTCACATATTTAAACTCACTTTTGCATTCATTGTGTCTGATGCCAAAGTTGGGCATCAAGTGTTTGTGTCTCTGAGCTGAGTATTGAACTCCAACAATTTTTTCCATCATAACCCCACTGGGATGAGTGCATGGGAGGGAGGGGGAGATTACAAGGGGCAGTATCCACATTATATAATGATGGGGAATATTAATAACCAATATTAATTAATAACCAATTAATAACCAATACAATGATGTATCTGAATAAAAATGTGTGTTATATGAATAATTGGGAAAATTTTTTTCAAGCATATAAATGTGGACTTCAGAGAAATTTATGTCTACAAGAATTCACAAAAAGAGGCACAAGAAAGTTGCTTAAATGAACATACATTCCTGTAATAGTAGTACTCATGCACAGTCATAAAGCAAAAAAGCACTTACCCTTGCTTTCATGTAGATATTTTGCCCTATAATTCTTGTACTGTCAAACATGTCATTACCAGGACCCATGGCCATGCACATAGTTGCCTGTTAAGAAATTTGTTTAAATGCTACGGATCAGTTAATGTAGACAATTATGTGGCACTGCAAAGGGGAAGAGGTCAAAAGGGATTGTCATACTGTGGGAACTAATTGCTTCTTGCTAGCCATCTCAGATTTGGGCACTAGGTTACTACATTTGGGAAAGTAACAGAAGACTGGGGAGAAGGCCTGCAAATACGCTCAAGTTACTCGCATGTGACCTGCTGGAAATCACATCTATCACACTAATTGTTTCTTTTGTGTGCTCAACAAATAGAACATCTGCACTCAGATAACATAGTCCTGGGATGGACTCAGGGGCACCTTATCAAACAGGCCTGGGATTCCTGCACTGTTGCTTAAGAGATCAAAGCCCAGCAGAAAACTCTGACTGCCTGAATCCTGGAAATACAGGCCCAAGCAGCAAGTGGGAGCTCCCTCGCTCCCTCAATCTCTTCCTAACAAGGACTCTTTCTAATAAGAACCCTTCATGGATGACAGTTCTTCCAGCTTGGAGGTGTCACCAAGGTCTAGTTGGACTGTGCATCAACACCTCTGAAGTAAAGACCATAGACGAGTCGCTGCTGAAGGGAGCGGAACACACAATATGCAGAACGGACTACACACTACATAGGGAGGTCTGCTGCCTCCTTGAGGCCCAGGTTAGTGATGTAAAGAAGAAGTTTACTTCCCTAGTATGGTCCTCAGATTATTACCCTTTTTGATCTTTCATGTAGGCAGTGACCATTTAGCAAGAAGTCCAAAGACAATGAACAGAGATTTCAGGACCTTTGAACGACTGACAGAAGTCGCGTTCTCCTCAGCAGGTACAGCCCAGGAGGTTCATCCAGTGTATTGATGATAACTTTTTGGCTCAGGCGGTGGAGGAGCAAGAAAGGGGACGTATACTACTTACTGGACCTAGTTCTGACAAACAAAGAGGGACTGGTAGAGGATATTAAGATGTGGTGATCATGGAAAGATAGAATTCAGGCTCGTGCAAAGTATGCACAAAACAAAAGTAGGATTGAAACCATAGGCTCTGGAAGGTAGGGGGGCCTCAAGAGAGCTGGTTGAAATTCAAATAGCACTTTCTCCAAGCTCAGGATCGGTGCATCCCTAAGAGTAAGAAATCAGGCAAGAGAAGCAGGAGACCTGTGTGGTTGAGCAGGGGGGCTCCTGAAAAAGCTCAAGTGGAAGAAGGAAGTTTACAGTGCGTGGAAGAAAGGAATGACCACTTGGGAAGAGTACAAGGATGCTGTTAGAGTATGCAGGGATGGAACAAGGAAAGCCAACACCTCCCTGGCATTAAACCTGGCAAAGCATGTCAAGATCAACAGCAAGGGTTTCTTCAAGTATACTGGAGGCAAGAGGAAAACTGGAGAAAATGTGGGCCCGCTGTTGAATGAGACAGGTGCCATGGTGACAGAGGATGGAGAGAAGGTGGAGCTGCTGAATGTCTTCTTTGCTTCAGTCTTTACTGCTCAGGCCAGCCCTTAGGAGCCCCAGACTTTGGAGGAAAAAGAGAAAATCTGGACAAAGGAAGACTTCCCCTTGGTTGAGGAGGATCAAGTTAGAGACCGGTTAAGTAAACTGGATATCTGCAAGTGCTGATCAAGTTATTGGTCTGCTCTACATCACCTTTGAAAGGTCCTGGAGAACAGGAGAGGTGCCTGAGAACTGGAGGAAAGCCAATGTCACTCCAGTCTTCAAAAAGGGCAAAAAGGAGGACCTGGGAAACTACAGGCCAGTCAACCTCACCTCCATCCTGGAAAGTTGATGGAGGCTTGTTCTGGGTGTCACCTCAAAGCATGTGGAGGAAAAGGAAGTCGTCAACATGGATTCACCAAGGGGAAATCATGTCAGACTAACCTGATAGCCTTCTACAATGGCATGACTGGATGGATAGATGAGGGGAGGGCAGGGGATGTTGTCTACTTTGACTTCAGCAAGGCTTTTGACACTGGCTCCCACAGCATCCTCATAGGTGATCTTAGGAAATGTGGGTTAGATGAATGGACAGTGAGGTGGATTGAAAACTCTGAAAGACAGAGCTCAGAGGATCGTAATTAGTGGCACAGAGTCCAGTTGGAGGCCTGTAGCTAGTGGTGTTCCCCAGGGGTCAGTACTGGGTCCAGTCCTTTTCAAGATATTCATCAATGGCCTGGATGAAGAGATGGAGTGTACCCTCAGCAAGTTTGCTGATGCCACAAAACTGGGAGGGGTGGCTGACACACCAGAAGGCCCTGCTGCCATCCAGCGAGACCTGGACAGGCTGGAGAGCTGGGCAGTGAGAAAAGTAATGAAATTCAACAAGGGTAAGCATAGAGTCCTGCACCTGGGGAGGAATAACCCCCCGCACCAGGACAGGTTGGGGGTGACCTGCTGGAGAGCAGCTCTGAGGAGAAAGACCTGAGAATCCTGGTGGCCAACAGGATGCCCATGAGCCAGCAATGGGCCCTTGTGGCCAAGAAGGCCAAGGGCATCCTGGGATGCATCAGGAAGAGTGTGAGCAGCAGGTGGAGGGAGGTCATCCTGCCCCTCTGCTCTGCCCTGGGGAGGCCCCATCTGGAGCACTGGGTCCAGTTCTGGGCTCCCCAGTTCAAGGAGGACAGGGAATTGCTGGAGAGGGGACAGCAGAGGCTACAAAGATGATGAGGGACCTGGAGGATCTCTTTTAGGGCTAGAGGCTGAGGGACTTGGGTCTTTTTAGTCTGCAGAAGAGAACACTAAGGGGGGATCTGATCAATACTATAAATACTTAAAGGGCGGGTGTCAGGAGGATGTGGCCAGTGTTTTTTCAGTGGTGCCCAGGGACAGGACAAAAGGCAACCAGCACAAACTTGAACACAGGAAGTTCCATCTAAAGATGAGGAGGAACTTCTTTCCTGTGAGGGTGGCAGAGCCCTGGAAGAGGCTGCCCAGAGGTGGTGGATTCTCTTTCTCTGGAGATATTCAAAACTTGCCTGGTTGCTATGCTGTGCAACTTGGTCTGGGTGGAGCTGCTTTGGCAGGGGGTTGGACTAAATGATCTCCAGAGGCCCCTTCCAACCCCATAGCATTCTGTGATTCTGTGATTCCTGCACAGGTGCCCACCACACTGCTCTGTATTTGCTGCTCCACCCCGATTTTTCTCGTTATCAGACATTAATGTAGATCAGGTAAGAAACACTTACCCCCCCCACGGGACAGGTGCTCTGTGGGTTATTGCACGACTCCCCCGTGTTTACACAGAATGGGCCTTTGGTGTTGGGCGACACGTCTCCCAAATTGGACGATGCAAAAGCAGCAACAAAGGAGCCCTGCCAAAACCAGATATGACCAGATGGATTTTAGTGCCTTGCAGTGATCACAAACGTCACCTATAGCTTTCCCTGCAGACACGGCTGGCAGTCCAGGCAGTTGATGAGCATGCGATGCTGGTAATTATTTCTTAAGTTACTGGGAAGACTGGAATGGGAGTCTCCCAAGGCGCGAAAATCAAGGGAGAATAGGACACACAAGGTATAAGTGCCATTTCAGAAGGGACTTTAGAACACTTTTTTATCCAGACAGCCATTCTTCATCTACCTCTCCCACCTCAGCCTCAGCTCTTCTCCTAAGTCCTCGCTTTCTCATGTTACTGATCAGGAGTTAATGGATCATTGTAGCACCTTGCACAGGATTTTTTTTTCCTGACAGACTTTCACCGTGACAGATTTATAGGATGAGAGCAGGATCTGACTGCAGGAGTTAACATCAAACATGGCTGGTTACACATTGTCAGCTGAATTCAGCTCTCACAGATACTCTCATTTTTTCCCCTTCTTTAGAGGTGGGATGTGTCAACACAAGACATTTTAATTATATTATGAGATCTTAAGCCATTTTCTTTTAAGACTGCTAGACACAATGAGCCAAGCAGAGCATGGAGTTAAATTTGTATCCTGAAAACAATAACAAGATTTGTGTGTAAAGCAATTTGCACTGACTTGCACCCATTACCAAGGGTGGAGTCTTGGTTAAAGCTTTTAGACAATGCATTATAAAAAGAAATATATGCAAGCAGGAATTAGATAAGCTTCTTTTAGTTTCCATCTTTGGTATGAACTGCATATGTTCCTCTGCCTGGAGTATTAAAATAGGAATTGGGCAACTGTTTCATTGTGTATTCCTCTTCTCTAGAGGAAGAAAGTTAATAAATCAAAAGATACATCTTTTACTGTACGAAAGAACTTACTTTGGCCCACAGGAACCATCCCCTCCCTGTTGCAGCCCTTTTTTCCCCATTATTTTCAGTAGTCTGAAATTAATCACACCTCTCCGGGAAGCATCCCCTTGTTCTTCTCCTGTTCGAACAGGTAAGATGCGTAGCCCATGTTGTCGCTGTTCACAAGGTGGTTTGTGTTGTTCATGCTGACCGGGTGCACAGCAAACCAGCTGAGGAGGAGTCAGAAGACACACATAGGAAATGTGTTGTTCAATCTATATATTGGCAATTGACTTGTTTAATCTGTATAATTGCAATTGATTTAAGGGAATTTTCTTTGGGAGAATATAAATGGAGATTGTTGGTACTTAGGGATAGATTAACAAGGGCAGAGTTATTCCCATCCTTTCCCTTCCTGAACAAGAGGACTCATAGCTATGATGGTCCGGGTATAGAGGCCTCCAGAGTTTGGAACTGTAATTACAAGGGCCACCAAGTGCTATTTCAGAACTGAACTGACACTTTTCTGAGTCCAGAGAAGTCTATCTTGCAGGGATTTTTGTCTTCTTGTTTCAAAGAGTAATGAAGTGTCAACAATGGAAAAAAAGGACCATTTTAATTCTTAAAAAAACCACCACCCTCATCCTCTTAATGTGATCAGACTCTTGCTTGTGATTTCTAAACGAGGAAAACACAATTATGTCTTTGTTACTGCACATTACTTCATTTGCCTGACCTTGAGCTGTGAACTTTGGGCAGCTGATAATCCAGATGCTGCCTGCAGGAATGGCATGCTTTTCATGAGATGTGGGGTGTTACTGAAAATAATGAAGATGAGAGGAGCCAAAAAGCTTCTGGAGATGCCGGGGCTGGAATCTGCTTGGAGGGGCACTGCGAGAGACCCAGAAAGGATTTTTCTCCACTCTCTGATGACTAGCAGAGAGCAATGCTGCATGGGCAAGGCTCAGTGCCGGAAAGAAGAGCTTATGTGGAAAGAGAGAATTGCTAAAGAACAGTGGTTTATGAGGATTTGGTGAAAAAAATGTTACGTTGGTGGTAAGTACCTGATAAGTCCTAGATCCTCTCCATTCATGTCTACCATCTTCAGCATCACCATTTCTTTATCTGTGTCGGATGAATATCTGGATGAAAATGAAGCGGGGAAATCCCTTTACCATCGTAGCCATGGTCACACTCTGCATTGCTGACACCTTAACTCTCCACTAGGTTGAGCAAGAATGAAGAGATTGTTACAGATATTACCAGAGCACGGTGAGGCCTTGGAAGAGCTTCTGAAAATAGCTGGGAAAGTAAGGGAAGAGTTGTGGTTGTCACTGACCTCAGGTGCTGCTTCTCCAGAGGATGCGGAGTGGAGGTCTCTGAATACAGATTTAGGCACCAAGGATGGCACTTTAATCACATCTGACTCAAATGCTGACATCTAATATAGACTTTTTTCTTTCTATCTTCTTATATTTTTAAACAAAGGATAATGTCACATCCTTGACCAATGCTTTACATGCTTTAAGGGTGCAACCACAACTTTCAAGCCCACTCTTACAACTAATTTTTGGGGATGTTCACATGCAAATGCTCGGGATGGCAACAGTGTCATACTGCCATGGCCTTGGCACCACATTTTCAACTATCCCATGAATGACCAGAAGCACCAGCTGCAAGATGGCTGGGTGATGTTCCCAATTGAAGGACTTTATTTTCCGCTTGAGTTTTTACCTGCTTCGTTCAGACGCGGGGTTCTCAAGATAGGAGAAAGGGCTTCTGTTGATCTGACTGTTTTCTACAATGCCTCTGTTTATAAAAATCCTTCCTCTCTTCATATTCTGGTGTGCTAGATCAATACTCTGAAAAGCAGTAAGGCAGGGAATATCCATGCACGTAAGGCGAGTATGAGATCAGCTGCATAAACTCTCTTTCCCTCCCCGCTGTCCCCAACCCTTCCTTGGCAATCTGAGGGCTATTTATTTTTTCTTAAGTAGTTTATTATTAAAGAAAATTATGATAATGCTCTGAAAGCACCCACAACTGTCTCTTTCTAAAGAAAGACTTTAAGGCTTCTGATTTTTGATCTGATTTCATGAGTAAGCATAAACCCACCTCCACTTCTGTTTTAAGACTGTGACATTTGAAGGTGCTACCGTGAGTACCACAGCAAGAGATCCGGTAGTGACAAATGTATCTCCCCCACCTTTTCTGCATTTATGGGGTCTCACGGTAACAGACTGGATGACACTGACCTTTACGATGCCATTCACGATAGCGTTGAGGGACTGTCTGCTTAGCCCTTTGCTAGTGATCCAGAAGAGGGTGTACTGGAAGTAGCCACCAGGCCCTGAGTGTGTGTGGGTGCCACTGAGGATGACGTTGTCCTGTCGATACAGCTCGCCATACTTGCTCTTCAGTTTCTTGAGCACCTAAGAGTAAGGAGGTGGTCCTAAAAAAACCCATGCCCACATGCTATGGAGATATGTATCAGCCCTTGCGGAAAAACCGACCATTCATCTGCCCGCTCTTCTCTTTCTGGGTGATACTTCCCTACTAGTGTCACAGGTTATAGCTGTTGTCTTGGCAAAAGCCCTAAAATAATAAAAACTGGTAAGTAAAGACTTCCATGCCCAACTTGCAGTTAAGCCCAGATCATCCAAAGAGTTTCTATTTCTCCGGTACCTCCCTCCGTCCTCTGTGGTGCTGGAGGCCCAGCATTACACAGGCACCATGATAATATATTGATGATGCAAATGTATTCGTGATAACTATTTTGCTAAGAAAAGCATGGTCAAAGTACAGCCTCATTTGATCAGGAATCAAAAACTCTTCTTCAGCAGAGAGACGACGTCTCTCCAAGGTCGTGCTGCAAGGAGATGCCAAAGCAAACAGCCAACGTACTGCCATGTTTGATATCACTTAGCAATATCTACAACCTTAATCCTAATACCAGCAACAACCCAAACTGTGCCAATCATTAATTTCCAGCCATGTACCTCCAGCCTCACTCTCTGAGACACCATTCCTATGTCGGCGCTGACAAACACTACTCGCCTGGAGTCATCAACGTCTGCCACAATGAAGGCTCGGCTGTAGAGGCGCATGAGAAGCCCTCCACCCACCTGGTCTGGGTTGGCATATCCCATCTGGAAGGGAAGAGTTCCGTCAAGCCCATGCAGCCCAAATATTGAGCAATGTATTCATTCGCAGTTATTTCTCTAAGTAGATTTGCCAGAGAGCTCATTCAACATATGAGCACTCAAAGCTGCAACTATTTTGCCCAGTGGTTACAAGAATCATAGAATCATAAAATGGTTTGGATTGGAAGAGACCATAAAGATCATCTAGTTCTGTGCTCCCCACCACAGGCAAGGACACATTTGATTATATCAGGTTGCTAAAAGCTGCAAAGAAATTTCACTTAATATTTGATGAAGACAACCATTTGGCAAGGCAGAGCCTCTCAACCAGAAGTCAAGCAAAAAATATTCAGAGATGATGAAAATCAGTACTTTGCCAAAACTGTGTTCAATTCCCCCAACTTACTAAAGGAATTTCTGCCACAGGTCCTGTGCAGTCAGCTCGACCTACGCCCAGTAAGTAGTTTTCTGTTTCTTTGCTGGAATCTATAAGAATAAATGGTAGATTATCGGACACACAAGCAAGGAGAATCGAGGCCAGAAGAGGCAACACAGCTTTTTTGAAGAGATTGCATGCCTGAGTCCTGCTTGACATACCCAGAGGACTCAGCAGGCCTGTGGACAAGGGGATCCAGCTGATACTGTCTGCCTGGGTTTCCAAAGGGCTATCAATGTGGTTAAAGTGTGCTGAGGCTGTTAAGGCATTTGGCTTGGTAAAAGGTAGACAATGTCATGAAGAACTGCAGAGGGAGCTCACAAGACAGGGTCACTGGACTGCGTAAAAAAATGAGTTAACTCTGGGCAGCTCCCGACACCCACCTCCCCACACCTGGTGATGTGGTTGGAGACATAGAGCTGTGATGGAATTGCAGCAGCTGTGAAGGCCCTTGGTGCCGTGATGAGACCGAGGGGCTCTTGGCACCCCCTCCACAAGGCAGAGCGAGGGCAGGGAAGCTGTCTGGATCCCTGCAGCCAGTCTCACCCACTGGCCCCAAGCCTGGGCAGCTGCGCACCAAGAGATGCTCACATTGGTTTTGACAACCATGCTCCTTGCACAAAGGCCAGCAGCAATACCGTGCCCTATCTGTGTGAGAGGACCACACAGAGAAGATTATGAAGGTTCAGCAGCGTCCCAGTGACCCTCTACATGTACCCATTTAATTTAAATTTAAATTAATTTAAATTATTCCTTTAATTTAAATTAATGCCCTGGACACACTCTCGAGCAGGGTGTGATGGCAGGACTGAAATAGCTTAACTTGCCTTTGCTGTCTTTGGGGAGAAAGTGGAGAACGAGGAGCACCACTGTCACCGCTATCATTAACACCAGGCACACAATGAGGATCACCTCCAGGCGGGAGAAGGAGCACTTGGACCTCTTCTCATACATGGTGGGGGCACTGTGAAAGCAAAAAGGAGCCTGAGGGGAAAGCAGATAGGACAGGCCTGATGTCAGGCTCATCCCACCCAGAACAGTGCGTTGCACCCTCGATGACCTGGTCCCCATCCCGGTGTCAGAGCAGGCAGCAGTGACAAGGCTGTAAAGTGGAGATTTGTTTTTCAGTTTGCTTAAGACAGCAAAAATAGATCTCCTTGTAAGCAGCAATCACTCCCCGTCACAAGGTCTTAAAGGATGGGGTTAGTGACAGAATTACTGATCCTGATTTTCCTGGGACAATTTGCTTGCTCTTCTGAAGAAATTTTTTACATAAACCCCACAATCATCCACAAGCACCTACATTCAGAGCAGCAAAGGGAGATGTTATGGTCAGAAGCCTCTCAGCTTTCCTGCTGCTCACACTCTCCGAGCACACCAGGAAACAATGTTGTCACCATAGCAAATGTGAATTAAGGAAACTCAGTGAAAGAAAATCACTCCCCGTTGCATGTCCAAGTGCATTTTTCTCCTAGATAAAGTAGTAGTTGAGACCGCTTTCCAAGACAAGACTTTCTGTATAGACACTAGCTTTTCTGATCACATACAAGCTATTTAGGTTTACTTTTTGTATGTTATTCTTCCTCCCGTGTCAGAGGTTTATTTTGGGTTAAAGATTAACCAAAAAAAAATTATTCAAAGTACAGTTATGAGAAAATATGGAATTTCCTCATCTGATAAGAGCTCTGGTGACCTCTGATTTGTCCTGCACTGGCACCTGAGTTTCATGTCAAGGTCTTCATTCTTGCCTGGTGGGAAGTAGCAAAGACATGCCATTGACATTCCTATAAACATCTGTGCAAGGTAGAAATAAGCCTTTTAAATATCTTAGGATGTTTCCGTTTGTCCTTAGATGTGTTAGTAGATAAAACTTACTGCAGATCCCATTTCTCTGCCTGTGACCAACATGTGGATGGGGAAGGATGGACATGCCATTAGAATGGGAAGAGTGAGGCAGAGCCTCTAATTTTCCTGGAGGTAACATTTGCTTAGTGGTGGGTGTGTCATGGGGCTTGGTAATGCTCATGCCTGCAGGCAATGCCCTGGAGGTGATGTGCCCTGGAAACAAAGAACCTGCAGAAAATAACTGCTGAAATGAGTGTTTATGGTCTTGGAAATGTTGCAAGGAAAACCAACATCACCAGAGAACCAAGTAATCATCCAGATTTGCTATAGGTGACCTTTCTTATTGGCTTCTTTTGCCATGGTAAGTTACAGCAGTCATGATCATTGCTGAATTTCACCTAGCAAGTTTTCTAGTGGCAACAAATCTAATATTATGGGTTTCTTTACTCTCCTTTTTATTCTCCAAGCACAGAATTGACAGCCAACTCTCAATTGACAGCCAATTGGCACCACAACCTGTCTAGATAATCGATATCACAGCACCAGACTTAAACACATCTGCACGATAAGCAATTACAGTTTTCTTTTTTCAACTGACTAAACTGCCAAAGTAAGAAGCAAGAAGCAAATATTAGTCCTACGAAATCGCAGTGAAACCTCGTGCAAACTTACCTGAGATCCCGTGTCTGTCCCAGTGTCTACAGGAACGTTTCTCAGCTTGAGATCTGTTTCAAGCTGAAAAGTTCAGCTAAAAATTATTGCTGTTATCGCCCTGTGAGTCAAGCACTGCCCAAGATAACAAGAAACCAATCAATAATTTTTACCGCACAATGAGATGATAGGTCGTTTTTCCTCCCAGTGTGTCTATTTTAATTACAAATGGCAGCTACCCCTCTAAAATAACCTTTCTGGGATTGCACTGATCAGCTCTGGTGCACAAGGAATTCGGGAACAGGACTTTTTGCCTCCTCTTTGCTTCATCCCAGCTTGACCAGCCTGTGGGATGGCTGCTGGTTCCCACCTGGGAGTGACTCCTATTCCTCGTGAAAGATCAGAACCCAGCGTTTCCAAAATCTACTAGAAGATTGTATTTTAATTATAAATCGTGAATATAGTATTTTAAGTGTAAAGTACATTTCAGTCATGTATATTTATTTGTTTAAAACTTTTTTTACTAAAACTCAGCTTTTCCCATCAGTTTTCCTTTTGACTCCCACATACCTTGCAAAGTGCATAAATTCACCAGCTGCTGAAGCATGCTTTATCCAAAGGATTTTGACAGTTTTGTCTTCCCAAACTTAACAGGACCCATCCCTCAGAGAACATGCTTGCCATTGCTGGCAGGGGTGATGAAAAACCCCAAGAGCAGTACCCTAGCAGGTATACCTGGGGTGGTGAAGACCCCCAGGCACTCATCCTTTCCAGTGGGAATTTAAGGCCAGGACTACCTCTGACATTTCCCCACAAACAGCTTCCAACAGGAAAACAGCTCAGGATTTTCCATTTTCCTCTTTCATCACCATTTCTTTCATGCACCCTAGTCCAAGGGTTAATATTCCAGCCAGCATCAAGTACGTGCTGAGTCACCACTTCAAGGTCCCGTTCAGTATCACTGTTTAGCTCCATGATTTTTGGACCGGCTGGTGGGAAGAACCAAGATTCACTGATATGTTATCTCCTCGCTGCAATACCAAAGGAACTCTGTTGCCCCTGAGGTCAGTGGAGAAACAACCTGCTTTGCTGTGTGGGCTAACAGGTGTCCACGGCCACCTCTGTGCTGCTGGGGGTACCCTGCTTCAGGTTGCAAGGTTGCTCCAAATTGTGCACTGGGTTTGGCGGTAGCTAAAGACCCTTGTTTGACAAAACCATGACTGCTGACAGGGGAAAGGTCCTGGGACAGAGATGAGGCAGGAGCAGGTTGTGCATTGGCAGGAAGAGCAAGAGCTCTTCCTGAAGTTGGTACATTTGCTAGATCATTGTGAAAGCATAAAAAATTGTGTTTTAAGGACCTGGTACAGTGATGTTGTGTTCTGACCAGTCTCACAACATGAAATTCAAAGAACTGAGGAAAATACCTCACCAAGGCTCTGTGACTCCAGAAAGGGCAACCCAGCTGTTTCTGAGGTTGAAGAAGGAAAAGGAAGCTTGTCAGCAGCTCAAAATGCATTTTGGGGAAATATCTTAAATATTTTCCTTTTGAAAAGACTGTTCAATGGGGTTATGGGAACCCATAGCTCCAGATCTCCCCTAAATAGCACGACTGTGTGCACTCACCCTGGCTCAGGGCTGAAAGAGCAGCAAGATTTTTAGTATAGAGAAAGGACTTTCTGGACTGCGAAGACCTCAGCTGAATTCCTAATGTCTTGGTAAATCCCTCTAAGCTCCCTCCTGCTTGTGGAAATGCAATCCAGTGCCTCCAGAGAAGGCACTGACCACCAAGATGGTGGTCAGAAAACTGTTTATTGAGCACATAGAGGTCATCACATGGCAGTGCAACAGGTACCCCGGAGCACCTAAGTGCCACTGTCAATCTAGCATGAAACAAAGACAAATTGTCTCAAAAGAGAAGTGCTGGAAATGCTTCCCTGAAGAAACATTAGCCATTTGTTTCTGCATGTCATGTCCACCACGTCAGACAGGTCACCAGCACAACCACCATGAGGAAGGGCTCTGGTCCCACTGGAGGCACAGTGCTTACCCCAAAGCAGCCGTGCTGGAGTGCCTAGCCTGGAAAAGAACCCTCCCCCCCCACCCCAGGCTGTCCTGTCAGGGGCAGGACGCTCATGAACCTGCTCATTAACCACTGATGTTTGAGATCAGTAACTCTGCAGATCCAGGCTGGAAGGAAACCAGAGCCTGGGAAGCACCAGTAGTCATGGTTGGAGGGGTCAGGACATCCCTGAATTTATGCTCTGGTTTGGGAGTGGAAGGAAATGTGGGATTTGAAAGAAGGCACACGTGTCAAATGCATGCAGGCCCAGGAAAATTATTTCATTTTTGAGGTCTTTGTTCAGCAATGCCTGGACAGCCTCGCCCTACACATCAGTCACGTCATTAACATGCAAAGTTACTTTCTCGTGAGATAAAATGTCTCTTGCAGATCATCCTCTTTCCAAAGACCAAGAGTCCTCCAACTTCTTCCCCCTTCTCATTTTGTGCTAAATGAGGCTAAAGAAAGTCACATTTTATTTATAATATTTATCCTACTGAAAAATGGCTTCTATCATAGAATCATAGAATGGTCTAGGTTGGAAGGAGACCCTTGGGATCATCGAGTCCAACCATCTCCCCTACTCTACAAACTTCTCCCCTATACTATATACCCCAAGACCACATCTAAACAACTTAAACACGTCCAGGGATGGTGACTCAACCACCTCCGTGGGCAGCCTGTTCCAGTCTCTGACCACTCTTTCTGTGAAGAATTATTTCCTCATGTTCAATCTAAACCTCCCCTGTTGGAGCTTGAAGCCATTCCCTCTCGTTCTATTGTTAATTACCTGTGAGAAGAGACCAGCACCAACCTCTCTACAGCATCCTTTCACGTAGTTGTAGAGAGTGATGAGGTCTCCCCTCAGCCTCCTCTTCCTCAAACTAAACAGTCCCTTACTGCTGTCACACGATACCAATTTTGGCCCTTCCCAGACACATTCAGTAACTGCAAACAGCACAGGATTTTCATTCTTAACATAGCGCAAAGGCTGCAGAGCGCTTTGGGACAAGCCCTTGCAGACATATTTGGTTTGACACCACCCAACCCACTCATGGAAACACCCAGGCGGTCTTGACTTCTCCTGAAAAATGCTGTTGATTTCTCATATGAAACCAGGTACCAGGTTTTACTTACTTTGGGAAACAAAAGGAGGACAAAAGTGATGCTAAAGGGACAAAGCAAGAGGAGGAGGCCCATAAAGAGCTGCACAACAAAAGCCTGCTGCAGTCCCAGCTACTGGCATCCCCCAAGGGACTCAAGCATCTGTCCTTGCGTATGTGCTAAATAGCTGGTTGGGGGGTGAAGCTATTTTCCAGTGCAGACACCAACAGCTCTGTGGCACATGGCGTGGACGTACAGGTTATGGAGAGACAGCGTGCCGCAGTGTGGAAATGCC